ATTATTTTACCACAAATATAATTTTGACATTTCTAAACTGACAATTGGTTCAAGGTTAAATCTTAGTTTAATAAAAATTAAAGTGTGTATTTGAACATGCCTGCATATACCATCCTGAGTGACAATTAGACAAAAAAAGGCCTATAAATCTCTTACTCTATCCAAAAACATAACCTTAATTTAATCCCTTTTAATGGCAAATGCAATCGATTAACCTAGCTATACTTTTATTGTAACCATGATATTTAACATAAAGTTCAGTAAAGCTTGATGTAAGATTAAAAAGTTGGTAAACTTAAAACATTAACTTTAAATACAAATAGTTCTGCTGACATGAAATAACAAGAATGTGTCCACAGCACACAGATGCCCAACTTCCACAATCATTTTCTATGTTCAGTGGACCGTGAAATTGGGGTCTAAACTCTAATTTGGCATTAAAATTAGAAAGATCATATCATAGGGAACATGTGTACTAAGTTTCAAGTTGATTGGACTTCAACTTCATCAAAAACTACCTTGACCAAAAACTTTAACCTAAAGCGGGACGGACGGACGTATGAACGGAGAGACGGACAGACAAACGGATGAACGAACAGACGCACAGACCGAAAAATATAACGCACCTAGGTGGGGCATAAAAGGAGTTTTTGTTCCAAATTATCTCAGAAACTATTTTTTAATAGAATTGTTTGACTACAATGTACAGGTCTTACTGAAGATTTATTTAGTCTCACTTATAGACCAACATATTTCTGATATATTATACATGACAATTAATGCAACTTTTACATAGAACTAATTCTTCTCACAATTTATAAAAAAGCTATAACTGTTATAAATGCATTTGATTTAATACATGATAGTATAACATGCTACATATCAGAATAATAATTATAAAATCTCATTAAAACTCCCACAAACATCAGGCAATAGTCAAATATCATTTACTTCTATAAATTCAATGCCTAATCACACTGTACATAAGACGTTGAGGCCGTGACACTGAATGACTATCTCTAGTAAGATTTTATAAGTAAAAGGTTTTTACAATAACACAGCTTGAGACAGAAGTTGTAAAACAGAGTAGTAATACAGTAAACAAATCTTTCAAATTACATCTTTAATTATGGAAATGTTTAATGAAAATTACTTCCCAAAAAAAGAAAAGTGTAATGAAATATATATGACCTCTGTACATCTTGAAAAACAAAACAGACTTCTAAACAAACATCCTTCATATGTGCTAAAATAATACTTCTATGGAAATAGCATGCCTTGATGTAATGTAATCTGTTATGATTTTTGTTGTTTTTATATAAAACTATTTAAGATTCTAACAATACACCATGCTCTTCTTTCCATAAGGTTTGTATGGGCAGGGATACAGTTTGTCCTTTCTAGTTCTATACTGTAAATTCAGAAATTATTGCGAGGTTTTTATTAATGCCAATGATGTGACTACTTGAGTATCGCAATAACAAAAACTCTACTTGAGTATCGCAATAACAAAAACTCTACTTGAGTATCGCAATAACAAAAACTCTACTTGAGTATCGCAATAACAAAAACTCTACTTGAGTATCGCAATAACAAAAACTCTACTTGAAACTCTACTCGAGTATCGCAATAACAAAAACTCTACTTGAGTATAGCAATAACAAAAACTCTACTTGAGTATAGCAATAACAAAAACTCTACTTGAAACTCTACTCGAGTATCGCAATAGCAAAAACTCTACTTGAGTATCGCAATAACAAAAACTCTACTTGAGTATCGTAATAACAAAAACTCTACTTGAGTATCGCAATAACAAAAACTCTACTTGAAACTCTACTCGAGTATCGCAATAACAAAAACTCTACTTGAAACTCTACTTGAGTATCGCAATAACAAAAACTCTACTTGAGTATAGCAATAACAAAAACTCTACTTGAGTATCGCAATAACAAAAACTCTACTTGAGTATAGCAATAACAAAAACTCTACTTGAAACTCTACTCGAGTATCGCAATAACAAAAACTCTACTTGAGTATCGCAATAACAAAAACTCTACTTGAGTATCGTAATAACAAAAACTCTACTTGAGTATCGCAATAACAAAAACTCTACTTGAAACTCTACTCGAGTATCGCAATAACAAAAACTCTACTTGAGTATCGCAATAACAAAAACTCTACTTGAGTATCGCAATAACAAAAACTCTACTTGAAACTCTACTCGAGTATCGCAATAACAAAAACTCTACTTGAGTATCGCAATAACAAAAACTCTACTTGAGTATCGTAATAACAAAAACTCTACTTGAGAATCGCAATAACAAAAACTCTACTTGAAACTCTACTCCAGTATCGCAATAACAAAAACTCTACTTGAGTATCGCAATAACAAAAACTCTACTCGAATAAAAACTCTACTTGAGTATCGCAATAATAAAAAGTCTACTTGAGTATCGCAATAATAAAAACTCTACTTGAGTATCGCAATAACAAAAACTCTACTTGAGTATCAAAATAACCAAAACTCTACTTGAGTATCGCAATAACCAAAACTCTACTTGAGTATCGCAATAACCAAAACTCTACTTGAGTATCGCAATAACAAAAACTCTACTTGAGTATTGCAATAACAAAAACTCTACTTGAGTATCGCAATAACAAAAACTCGCATTCTGATATCAAATACGATATATCTGTATGTAGCTTTTCCTAAAATCGAAATAATTCAATTCGCATTTTTGTTAATTCTTCAAAAATCACAATAATAAATGAATGCAATAATTTCTGAATTTACTGTTATTAAAAACAAGTTGAAAATGGACTATCATTAACTTCCAAATAGACGTGATGACAAGGTTTATATGGAGTACAGGAACACTTAAAAATTACTATATCTAAATGGATTTATAACTGTTATTATGACCTAACATCTGCACATGCAATCCGAGTTAAAACCTCTGCAGGAAAATTTGAAAAAGACTGCCATAAAATATTTCCTCATTTTAATTTCTAAAAAAACTGAGAATTATAATGAAGCAAAAGAAACTATAATCAATTTATTCAGTTTCCTAAAGTAATAAATCTCAAACTACAGAAAGCTTTATTGATATCATGCAGAAAATGAAACGTTAAACTTTCTTATGACTTTGATCTTCTTGATTTTATGATAGGCTTCACATTTAACATACTTTCATGTAATATTTCTCACATGATTATTAAACTGCATTTAACCACAAAGACTGCTCACAATGGAGAGATGAAAAAGGAAATACTAAAAAATAAAATCTTAATAAAAGAGTTCCAATGTCCACTGTATTGCACATATTCTATCTGTACAATTGTAATAACTAAAACAAAAACATTCTATTTGCATCTTTAACCTTTTTTGTGAACATCTTAAAGAAATGTTACTCTAATGGGAGCACTTACAAGTCAGTTACTCTTTGGAGCACTTACAAGGCAGTTACTCTTGGGAGCACTTACAAGGCAGTTACTCTTGGGAGCACTTACCAGACAGTTACTCTTGGGAGCACTTACAAGGCAGTTACTCTTGGGAGCACTTACAAGACAGTTACTCTTGGGAGCACTTACAAGTCAGTTACTCTTGGGAGCACTTACAAGGCAGTTACTCTTGGGAGCACTTACAAGACAGTTACTCTTGGGAGCACTTACAAGGCAGTTTTCCTTTTATGTAAATTTTATAAAAATCTGGCAAGAATTATAAAGGTGAGAGAGCTTGCAAGACTGGACGCATGGACACCTGGTATTCTATGTCCATCACAATATGTCATGCTGGGGACAAGGGTAATTATATAGGTGAGAGAGCTTAAAAGACTGGGTGTACAGACGCCTGGTATTTCTATGTCCACAACAACTTGTCGTGCTGGGGACAAAAGTTATAACCATGTAGAAAGAAACATGTACATAGCAATTGAAAAATCTTTTTTATATTATAGGTAATAGAAATTTTGGCCATAGGCATCACAGTGTTACTAGAGACATTAGTTGTTGAAATTATGTGCATTTGGTGCAGTGAAGTTCACATCCTACTACCAGTTAGACTTATTACTGAGTTTGTACTAACATAAGCAACATGACGTGTGCCACATGTGGAGCAGGATCTGCTTACCCTTCCAGAGCACCTGAGATCACCCCCAGGTTTTGGTGGGGTTCGTCCCCACAATCAATCACAATTATTTATAGTTTTGATCTGTGTATTACCTTTTGCATCTGCCATACTTATAGCAGTGTGAACTGTAAATGTTTTGATTGTCATATATATATATATATATATATACATACATGATAAATACTTTTACAATAAAGTTATTAATATCATTTATATCTGCAAGTAGTTAATATGGCAGATTTTTGTCAATTTGTATTAGTCCCCTGTCATCAGCTATAAAGACTATCTTTTCACTTTACATAAATTTGTCATTTCAGGGCCTTTTATAGCTGACTATGTGGTATGGGCTTTGCTCATTGTTGAAGGCCGTACAGTGACCTAATCTGAGTCATTTGGTTTCTTGTGGAGAGTTGTCTCATTGACAATCAAACCACATCTTCTTATTTTTATATATGCATGATATGCATGTTGTGTGCTCTTTGGTCTGGTTGATGTCTCTTTGACATATTCCCCATTTCCATTCTCAATTTTATGATACATGTATAGGGAAATCTGGACTTTAATAGAGTTCAACCAAGTTTGAACTTTTACAGCGCTGGTCCATAATACCCATAAAATGTGATTGGATAGGTAGGAAGGCAGGAAACAGTCCTGGTCAATAATACCCATAACATGTGATAGGATAGGAAGGGAGGCAGGAAACAGTTCTGGTCAATAATACCCATAACATGTGATAGGATAGGTAGGGAGGCAGGAAACAGAACTATAGCTTAACAACTAAGTGGCAACTTTTAAAATTCTTAAAAACAGACATGACATCTTTTTATGAAATAAAACAAAAAATAATCTTGATTTCTTGTAAGATACATACCAAATTATATGCAGCTAACAACAAGGCTTCAACACCTCCACAACTCTGGAATAAAAAAATATATTTAATATGAGAAAGACTGTGATCACATGTTTCTAAAATAGAAAGTTGATTAAAATCTACAATAGAAATACACCCTGGAAGACAGCCTAATGTAAAAATATGGTTAATAAATTTCTGTTTGTAGACAGTAAAATGACTTTTTAATATCAAATAGTTAAGATTTGCTTTTTTTAGGGGAAAGTTTCAAATTGCGTAAGTCTTCAAGTCTACAGATTATTGCTTTTTTCAATGCATTTATAGTAAGAGAAGTCAAATGTGTTAGCTGGAAACATATAATATGACTTTTCTGCCATTTGCTACTAAGACATCAAGATGTTCAAAGAAGTGATACATAAAATGGAAACATTTGAATTACTATCGTTGGTGGGGCATAAAAATTAAAACTTGCAGTGTGCCACTCACAATTCAAAGAAACGGGAAACAGGAAGTAGGAAAGAAGTGTCTGATATAGACTAAATGGGCTCCCATTTCAAAACTTATCACTGCTAAGCTGCTGACCAAATATTAAGTCAACGTGTTCTGTTGCACTGAAGAAGTGTAACAGAACATTGAAATATTCACAGTATTAGCAATCTGGCTGCAATAAGGTGGCTGACACATTAAAACTACCTACTGTCAAGCTGCTGTCTAAATATGAAATCCTTCTGTTCAGTAGTATCAGAGAAAGGTGACAAACAGACAGAAGGATGAACAAATGAACATGATAACAATAAAGCCCCATTCCTAGAGTACTAGGGGTACAACCAGGAATACTGTGATCAGAGTTTTTAAATTCATATCCTTTAAGTCTATGTTTAGCTGAATAAAACCCCCAAAAATTATTTGAATAAAAAACAGATGTAACAGTGTCCAAAGTTTGGAACCTTGTCAATGATTGTGTTCCATTATACATTTACAACTTGATTTATATGTGAGTGGAAACATTATTACATATATATGGTAAAGTGACATTGGTAGAGATAGCTGTCTTGTGTTCATTACGTTATTTTTGGTTTTATTAAGTTGTTGTCTCTTATATTATCCTAACCCTGCATCTCCTTCTTTAAATATTCATACATACAGAACACTTAAAGTCAAACCCACCAGCCATGATGAAACTGAACTGACATTAATATAATTTCCATAAAAATATGTTTCATTACAAAACATAAGTAAAAACTATCAAGACTATAGGTTAGAGGAAAACTATCACATTTCAATTTCATTAAAAACAATACATTTTGCTCTAGGTTAGATGATTCTGCTTGAATGTATTTTATTTCTTCCCATAAGACTGGTGTAATGTCTTCCACAAACACTTAAAGATATTTTATTTGCTTTTTATTGATAATAAAAAAGTCTAACAGACCTTGTAATGATATGGTGTTATTACTATTTACAATAAACATGTCCCCCAAACAAGACTGAATCAAATTATATATACAGTCAGTCAGACCTAAACAAGACTAGTCTCCTTATATTTAAAATCAGCAAGACCCAAACAAGACTGAAACACTTTATATCTACAATCAACAAGTCCTAAACAAGACTGAAACACTTTATATCTACAATCAGCAAGTCCCAAACAAGACTGAAACACTTTATATCTACAATCAGCAAGTCCTAAACAAGACTGAAACACTTTATATCTACAATCAGCAAGTCCTAAACAAGACTGAAACACTTTACAACAAGACCCAAACAAGACTGAAACACTTTATATCTACAATCAGCAAGACCCGAACAAGACTGAAACACTTTATATCTACAATCAGCAAGTCCTAAACATGACTGAAACACTTTATATCTACAATCAGCAAGTCCTAAACAAGACTGAAACACTTTATATCTACAATCAGCAAGTCTAAACAAGACTGAAACACTTTATATCTACAATCAGTAAGACCCGAACAAGACTGAAACACTTTATATCTACAATCAGCAAGTCCTAAACATGACTGAAACACTTTATATCTACAATCAGCAAGTCCTAAACAAGACTGAAACACTTTATATCTACAATCAGCAAGTCCTAAACAAGACTGAAACACTTTACAACAAGTCCTAAACAAGACTGAAACACTTTATATCTACAATCAGCAAGACCTGAACAAGACTGAAACACTTTATATCTACAATCAGCAAGTCCTAAACATGACTGAAACACTTTATATCTACAATCAGCAAGTCCTAAACATGACTGAAACACTTTATATCTACAATCAGCAAGTCCTAAACAAGACTGAAACACTTTATATCTACAATCAGCAAGTCCTAAACAAGACTGAAACACTTTACAACAAGTCCTAAACAAGACTGAAACACTTTATATCTACAATCAGCAAGACCTGAACAAGACTGAAACACTTTATATCTACAATCAGCAAGTCCTAAACAAGACTGAAACACTTTATATCTACAATCAGCAAGTCCTAAACATGACTGAAACACTTTATATCTACAATCAGCAAGTCCTAAACATGACTGAAACACTTTATATCTACAATCAGCAAGTCCTAAACAAGACTGAAACACTTTATATCTACAATCAGCAAGACCTAAACAAGACTGAAACACTTTATATCTACAATCGTCAAGTCCTTAACGAGACTGAAACACTTTATATCTACAATCAGCAAGTCCTAAACAAGACTGAAACACTTTATATCTACAATCAACAAGTCCTAAACAAGACTGAAACACTTTATATCTACAATCAGCAAGACCAAAACAAGACTGAAACACTTTATATCTACAATCAGCAAGTCCTAAACAAGACTGAAACACTTTATATCTACAATCAGCAAGACCTAAACAAGACTGAAACACTTTATATCTACAATCGGCAAGTCCTTAACAAGACTGAAACACTTTATATCTACAATCAGCAAGTCCTAAACAAGACTGAAACACTTTATATCTACAATCAGCAAGTCCTAAACAAGACTGAAACACTTTATATCTACAATCAGCAAGTCATAAACAAGACTAAAAAACACTTTATATCTACAATCAGCAAGACCCAAACAAGACTGAAACACCTTATATATACAATCAGTGAGACCTAAACAAGACTGAAACACTTTATATCTACAATCAGCAAGTCCTAAACAAGACTGAAACACTTTATATCTACAATCAGCAAGTCATGAACAAGACTGAAACACTTTTTATCTACAATCAGCAAGTCCTAAACAAGACTGAAACACTTTATATCTACAATCAGCAAGACCAAAACAAGACTGAAACACTTTATATCTACAATCAACAAGTCATAAACAAGACTGAAATACTTTTTATCTACAATCAGCAAGTCCTAAACAAGACTGAAACACTTTATATCTACAATCAGCAAGACCAAAACAAGACTGAAACACTTTATATCTACAATCAGCAAGTCCTAAACAAGACTAAAACACTTTATATCTACAATCAGCAAGTCCTAAACAAGACTGAAACACTTTATATCTACAATCAGCAAGTCCTAAACAAGACTGAAACACTTTATATCTACAATCAGCAAGTCTTAAACAAGACTGAAACACTTTATATCTTCAATCAGCAAGTCCTAAACAAGACTGAAACACTTTATATCTACAATCAGCAAGTCCTAAACAAGACTGAAACACTTTATATCTACAATCAGCAAGTCCTAAACAAGACTGAAACACTTTTTATATACCAGCAGCAAGTCCTAAACAAGACTGAAACACTTTATATCTACAATCAGCAAGTCCTAAACAAGACTTTAACACATTATATCTACAATCAGCAAGACCAAAACAAGACTGAAACACTTTATATCTACAATCAGCAAGTCCTAAACAAGACTGAAACACTTTATATCTACAATCAGCAAGTCCTAAACAAGACTGAAACACTTTATATCTACAATCAGCAAGTCCTAAACAAGACAAAAACACTTTATATCTACAATCAGCAAGTCCTAAACAAGACTGAAACACTTTATATCTACAATCAGCAAGTCCTAAACAAGACTGAAACACTTTATATCTACAATCAGCAAGTCCTAAACAAGACTGAAACACTTTATATCTACAATCAGTGAGACCTAAACAAGACTGAAACACTTTTATATCTACAATCAACAAGTCCGAAACAAGACTGAAACACTTTATATCTACAATCAGCAAGTCCTAAACAAGACTGAAACACTTTATATCTACAATCAGTGAGACCTAAACAAGACTGAAACACTTTTATATCTACAATCAACAAGTCCGAAACAAGACTGAAACACTTTATATCTACAATCAGCAAGTCCTAAACAAGACTGAAACACTTTATATCTACAATCAGTGAGACCTAAACAAGACTGAAACACTTTTATATCTACAATCAACAAGTCCGAAACAAGACTGAAACACTTTATATCTACAATCAGCAAGTCCTAAACAAGATTGAAACACTTTATATCTATAATCAGCAAGTCCTAAACAAGACTGAAACACTTTATATCTACAATCAGCAAGACCCAAACAAGACTGAAACACTTTATATCTACAATCAGCAAGTCCTAAACAAGACTGAAACACTTTACAACAAGTCCTAAACAAGACTGAAACACTTTATATCTACAATCAGCAACTCCCAAACAAGACTGAAACACTTTATATCTACAATCAGCAAGTCTTAAACAAGACTGAAACACTTTATATCTACAATCAGCAAGTCCTAAACAAGACTGAAACACTTTATATCTACAATCAGCAAGACCAAAACAAGACTAAAACACTTTATATCTACAACCAGCAAGTCCTCAACAAGACTGAAACACTTTATATCTACAATCAGCAAGTCCTAAACAAGACTGAAACACTTTATATCTACAATCAGCAAGTCCTAAACAAGACTGAAACACTTTATATCTACAATCAGCAAGTCCTAAACAAGACTGAAACACTTTATATCTACAATCAACAAGTCCGAAACAAGACTGAAACACTTTATATCTACAATCAGCAAGTCCTAAACAAGATTGA